ACACTTAATGACTGAGCCAGTCAGGTGCCCCCAGCTTTCTCATCTTTAAAATGGGGATAAAAATTGCCAAAAAAGAAATTGAATCAGTAATCCATAATCCCAAAAATCAGTAATCAGTAATCCCAACAAACAAAGCCCAGGACCAGATGGTTTCACAGGCTAATTCTACCAAACATCTACCAAACTGGGGCTCCTAGCTAGTTCAATCAAGAGAGCCTGTACTTCCTAATCTCAGAGTCATGACTTCAAGCTCCATGTGGGATATAGAGCCTACTTAATTAAAAAAAGGAGTTAATACTTATTCTTTTCAAACTATTGCAAAAAATTTAGAAAAGGACGGAAAACTTCAATATTCATTCTATGAGGCCAGCATTACCCTGACACCAAAACCAAATAAAGACACCACAAAAAAGAGTACTACAAGCCAATATCCCTGGTGAATATAGTTGCAAAAATCCTCAACAAAGTACTGCAAACCAAATCCAACAATATATTAAAAAACTCATTCACCGCAATTAGGTGGGATTTATTTCTGGGTTGCAAGGGAGGTTCAATATTTGTGAATCCGTCAGTGTAATAGGTCACATCAATAAAAGAAAGGACAAGAGCCATCTGATCATTTCAATAGATGTGAAGAAAGCATTTTACAAAGTACAACATCCATTCATGATAAAAACCCTCAACAACGTAGGGTTGGGGGAACATACCTCAACATAATAAAGGCTATGTATGAAAAACCCACAGCTAACATCATCCTCAATGGGGAAAATCTGAGAGCCTTTCCCCTAAGTTCAGGAATAAGACAAGGATGTCTGCTATCATCACTTTTATTCAACATAGTACTGGAAGTCCTAGCCACCGCAATCAGACAAGAAAAAGAAATAAAAGGCATCCAAATCAGTAAGGAAGAAGTAAAACTTTCACTATTTGCAGAACATGATACCATATATAGAAAACCTGAAAGACTCCACCAAAAAACTGCTAGAGCTGATAAACAAATTCAGTAAAGTCACAGGATATAAAATCTACACCAATAATGAAGCAACAAAAAAGAGAAATTAAGAAAACAATCCTATTTACAATTGCATCAAAAATAATAAGATATCTAAGAAAAAACCTAATCAAAGAGCTGAAAGACCTATACTCTGAAAACCCAGAAAACCCAGAAAAGAACTCACAATTATATAGTCAATTAATCTGTGACAAAGCAGGAAAGAATATCCAATGGGAAAAAAGATATATCTTTAACAAATGATGTTGGGAAAACTGGACAGCAACACACAAAATAATGAAGCTGGATCACTTTCTTATACCATATACCAAAATGAACTCAAAATGGATTAAAGACCTAAATGTGAGACCTGAAACCATAAAAATTCTAGAAGAGAATCTAGGCAATAACTTATTTGAATCTGCCGTAGCAACTTCTTTCTAGATATGTCTTCTGAGGAAATGGAAACAAAAACAAAAATAAACTACTGGGACTACATCAAAATAAAAACCTTCTGCACAGCCAAAGAAACAATCAACAAAACTAAAAGGCAACCTACAGAATGGGAGAAGATATTTGCAAATGATGTATCTGATAAAGGGTTAGTATGCAACATACATAAAGAACTTATAAAACTTAATGCCCCCAAAACAAATATTCCAATTTAAAATGGGCAGAAGACATGAACAGACATTTTTTTCAAAGAGGACATATGGATGGCTAATAGACAAATGAAAAGGTCATCAGGCAAACACAAATCAAAACTACAGTGTGATAGCATCTCACACCTGTCAGAATGGCTAAAATAAAAAACACAAGAAACAAAGGTGTTGGTGAGGATATGGAGAAAAAGGAACTCTCTTGCTCTGTTGGTGGGAATGCAAATGGTGTGGCCACTCTAGGAGGTCACTCTAGTTGGAGGTTCCTCAAAAAGTTAAGAACTACCCTATGATCCAGCAATCACACTACTGGGTATTTTCCCAAAGAATACAAAAACATTAATTCAAAGAGATACATGCACCCCAATGTTTATAACAGCATTATTTATAATAGCCAAGATACAGAAGCAGCTCAAGTGTCCACTGATTGATGAATGGATAAAGAAGATGTGGTATATATACACACAGTGGAATATTTGTCAGTCATAAAAAGCATGAAATCTTGCCATTTCCAATGACATGGATGGAGCTAGACAGTATAATGCTAAGTGAAATAAGTAAGCCAAACACCATATGACAAATACTACATGAATTTCACTCATACATGGAATTTAAGAAACAGAACAAATGAACAAAGGGGAAAAAAAAAGAGACAAACCAAGAAACACACTCTAACTACAGAGAACAAACTGATGATTACTAGAGAGGAGGCTGGTGGGGGAAAGAGTGAAATAAAGGGTGGGATTAAGAAGTGCATTTGTTGTGATGAACATTAGGTGATTTAAAAAAACTTGGAAAAAATATAAATAAATAAATAAATAAATAAATAAATAAATAAAATGGGTGTACGTATATGGGGGCTTGTCCATGTATGGGCATATATGTACTAACATAGTACAAGGACCGTAAGTGTTCAATGAATATTAGATCTTATTATTCCTAACATTATTTTTTGATATACATATATGTTAAGAAATGATTACCATAGTAAAATTAGTTAACACATTCATCAAATCACACATTACCATTTCTTTTGTATGTGGTGAGAACATTTAAGACTACTCTTTTAGCAACTGTCAGATATATGACATAGTAGTATTACTAATAATCATCGCACTGTACATTGGGTTCCCAGAATTTATTCATCTTATAATTGAAAGTTTTTACCCTTTGACCAACATCTCCCCATTTTTTCTCATATCTCCAGGCCCTGGCAACCATCATTCTACTCTGTTTTTATGAGTTCTTTTAGGTTCCATATGGTATTTTTCCTTCTCTGCTTGACTTATTTCACTTAGCATAATATCCATGTTATTGCAAATGGCAGGATTTCCTTCTTTCTCACAGCCTGGATATGTGTGTGTGTGTGTGTGTGTGTGTGTGTGTGTGTGTGTGTGTGACATTTTTTAATCCATTCATCCATCAATAGACACTAAGGTTGTTTCCATGTCTTGGCTATTGTGAACAATGCTACAACAAACATGGGGATGCAGATATCTCAAGATAGTGATTTCATGTCCTTTGGATATACACCAAGAAGTAGGATTGCTAAGTCATATGGTAGTTCTATTTTTAATTTCTTGAGGAAACCTCCGTATTGTTTTCCATAATGCCTGTACCATTTACATTCTCACCAGCAGTATACAAAGTGTTCCCTTGTTCACATCCTTGCCAACACTTATCTCTTGTCTTTTTGATATAGCTATTCTAACAGATATCTCATTGTGGTTTGAATTTGCATTTCCCTGATGATTACTGATATTGAATGCCTTTTCATGTACCTGTTGATCCTATGTCTTTGGGAACATGTCTATTCAGAGCCTTTGCCCATTCTTTAAATAGGACTATTTGTTTTTTTTCTGTAATTGACTTCTATGAGTTCCTTATGTATTTTGGAGATTAACCTCTTATCAAATACATAGTTCACAAATAGTTTTTCCCATTTTGTAGGTTGTTTTTTCATTTGTTGATTATTTCTTTTGCTACACAGCTTTTTAGTTTGATGTAGTCTCACTTGTTTGTTTTTGCCTTTGTTGCTTGTACTTTGGAGTCATATCCGAAAAATCATTGCCAGGACCAATGTCAAGGAACTTTCCCCTGTTTTCTTCTAGGAGTTTTATGTTTTGAGGTCTTACAATTAAGCCTTTAATCCTTCATGAGTTAACTTCTGTGAGTGGATGTCTGAACTTAAAAAAAAATCCATCTTGGAGGTTCTTAATCATTTCACTCAGTTATTAACCTGTGAAATGATGCTAACAAGTACCTTCTCTCTTGCAAGAATCGCTATTTGTTATAAGAACGTGTTTTTTTTTTTTAAGATTTTATTTATTTGACAGATCACAAGTAGTCAGAGAGGTAGGCAGCCGCGGGGGGGAGGGGGGAGCAAGCTCCCTGCTGAGCAGAGAGTCTGATGTGGGGCTGGATCCCAGGACCCTGAGATCATGACCTGAGCTGAAGGCAGAGGCTTAACCCACTGAGCCACCCAGGTGCCCCTGTTATAAGAACCTTTTTTAGAGTGGTAGCTTTATCCTATTCCTGCCTTTACCAAAGCCACTTTTGTGTTTAACTGTTCCTTCCTTCATCCGGACTCTCCCCAGTCTTTGAGAAAACAACTAGGCTTTCTAGGAAAGGATTCATTATTTCGTTCATTCTTTCACGAAACAAATCTTTCCCGAGAACTTACTACACACCCAACGCTAGGTAAGATGCTGAGGACGCACTGCGGAGCAGACAGACAAGAACAATTTGGGGCTCTCGGTGTGAGGTGGGTCCCCACATCGCAGTTCAGAAAGGCAATGAATGCAAGGTCAAGAGCAGGGCGGCATCTGTGTCACCCAGCACCTCCGAAAACTTGGCAGGGCCCTCCCAGTGACACAGTCACTGTCACTTCTTGGTAAGGCTTTGATACAGAGAGAGGATGTAGGTAAAATAAATGCAGAAAGGAGGAGAATGTCTGCAATTCAGGCAGAAAATAAGCAAACTCGGTTAAAACAAACAAGCCAGCCAGCCAGCCAAACTCTTGAAAGAAGCACACTCTGAAAGCTTCGCAGACGCTCCCCATCCCGGTCTGAGGAGTCACCAGGTGAATCCGGAGAGGGCGGTGGACGTGGCCCCACTCCAGGTGGCGGCTGGCCGCAGGACACCCTCCGCAGGCTGCGGGGCTGGGGGGCCGCCCCCGAGCGTCCCCCCGGCCGCTCTCCAGACCCGGAGCTTCCCCGCTGCGCCTAGAACGGCGTCGCCTGGTGCGCGGTGGGGCGGGGACGCCGGGGCAAGGCCGGGCTGGGCGGGAGCGGCTGCCCCGCCTCGGGAGAGGCGGGCCGGGTCGAGCCTATTTGAGGCGCGGAGCCACCGCCGGGTCTGGGATCGCAGCACCTCACCAGAAGCCGCCCCCGCAGCAAGCGAGCGAGCGCCGAGGCGTCGGGTGAGTGGCGGGCGCGCGGGTCGCGGAGGGAGCTTGCGGGCCGCCGGGTCGCGGCGAGGTGGAAGCCCGCGCGGGGGCGGAGAGACTAGGGGTCGCGTGCGGAGCCGGGGGCGCGGTCCTGGGCAAGGGTCCGTAGCCTTGACCCCCCAGAGGGCGCAGTGTGAGACTCAGGGAAAGTTAGTCGCGCTTTCCCGAGACTCACGCACTCTTCGTGGGGCGGACGGAGAGCGGCGCGGGGCACCCTCCGCGGCGACCGGCGGCCTCGGCCACGGCGTCCAGCCCTCGAGCGGGGTGGGGGCGGGGAGACGCACGCTCCGCCAGCCCCGCGGTCCGCCCCTGTTTGGGATTAGGAAACGGGTCCTCCTTTCCTGGACGCGGGGGGCTGCCCAGGGACTCTGGAGGTGGCTCCTGCGCCCCTTGACTGAGCTGCACGGCCGCTGCATCCGGCTGCGGGGGGCGCAGGAGCTCTTCTACGAGGCCCTGCGGGGCAGGGGCTGCCGCCGCTCTCTGGGTGCTGATCCCACAGAAAATGGTGATGCCCCAGGGCCTGAGTGGGCATGTGTCTGGTTTGGCGAGCAGTGCACATCCTAAGCTTTTGCAAATCAGTGACTCATCCCTGCCCAGACTGGCTAATTTGGGCATTATTCCAGATCTGTGCTGAGGCCGTGTAGGGTGTGGCAGAATGTTGGTCCGAATGTGCAGAGCCCCAGCGGGGGATGCTAGGAGGTGTCCGCTTTGGGGGATAGGAGCTGAACGCCAAAGAGTCAGGGACACATAGGGTGAGGCTGTGACTTCGGCTTCAGGCTCTCCACTGCAAGTTACTGATTCCTATTCCAGATACTGTGGAATCTTTGTAAAGTGACTCCCGGGAGTTGGGTTGCTGGACAGTGAAGATCGTTGAACCACAGTGACCCAATCTGTTTCTGGGATCCTAGGAAAGGAATGGAAGACATCTCATGTGTGATTGTTGGAAGATGGGAACTGCTTCCTAACTTCATAACATTTGGGGGTTACACTTAGAATCAGCACCTACTCCATGTTCTGGGGTAAAGTTTGATGATGGTCTTAGAATGTTTTGAGCTTCAATGTGCTAGAAGGATGCCTCACCAGGTACTTAAGTAGCAGAAGAGGGGAAACACTGCCTGAGAGATTGACCACCAAAGCTAGTTTTTTGCAGGGGTCCTTAATCAGTGATGTTTCTCTATGCTACAAAAATGCATCAGTGCTTTACTATAAAGATTTCACGTATTGCTAGTGAGTCAAAAGGCCAGGGTTGGCCTCCCCTATAGTTTAGGTACCTACTTGCCAGGAACCTCATCCGCCAGACTCTGCATCTTAACTGTAGCAGAGACCTACGTTCATGTATTATAACCTGAACATCTCATGTTGTCCCTAAATACAGTTGGCCTGTAAGTGTAATGTATCTGAGGCTCATGGTTAACTGATCTAAAATATAGCCTCCCTTTCCTGTGATGGTTTGGGAAACAGGCTCCTGCTGAGGACAGCTGGGCATTTGGTGTCTAGTGCCTGAACTGGTTCTTCTGATTAAATTCGGAGTGGTAAGCCTGCCAGAGAAGGGCCTGTTGTAAACTTCCAATTTGCTGCTGACTAAGTATCACGTGTTCGCTCTTGACTGAGCTTTTCCATAGCGGGAAAACGATCAGTAACTGAGAGGCACAAAGTAACTTTACCTTCCTTGATGCTGAGGAACTACGATAAGAAGGAAATCCTAGTAAAGGACCCGTTTCCTTTATTCCAACTCAGCATCACAGAATTTGGCTCTGGAAAGAAGACTTGTTTCAGCAAGGGCAGGAAGTAGACCGGCTCTCCTGGGTTCTTTGCAGAGGAGTGTGGGAAGTGCCTTGGGTTCTGAGGAAATGCATTTATGATCTACTCCTCTTTCAGCTTGTATAGAGGTCAGGGCCCTTTGTGAGCAGAAATTACAGAAGTGCTCCCAGGAACCCCAACTACTGGACTAATTGCTAGGTGGACCAGAATAGCACAGTACAGTAGATAGCCACTCTTTATTAGAGGGAAAACTACAATTAACAGCTAATTAAAAAGGTCTACATTCTGACTCACGTTTAAATTCTTTATTCCAAAGCAACACTGAATTACTTCTTACAGGTTTTTCCAAATGTGAAGACTCAGGTAGTATTTCCTCAATTTTTTGTTTTGCTTTAATATAGTGTTTCTTTTCTGGTGTTTCTAAATTCTCTGATTCTGGGAATGGCAGGATGGCGTTCACATATCTGTAGTATCTGTAGGGTGAGAAGGTTTTTTTTACATTTGATTGTGTCTCTAAATAAACTGTTCATCTAAAAGGAAAGAAAAAAAGAGAGAGAGAAAGAAAGAGAGAGAGAGAGAAAGAAGAAGGGAGGGAGGGAGAGAGGGAAATTTTCCAGGCAAGGAAGAAAGATATTTATCCAAACAGATTTTTTTTTTTTTAAAGTTCTAAGGTTGCTAACCTTGATTTCAAAAAAGTATCGGTTATAATCTTTTCTCGAAAAAGAGAACTGATGTTTAAGAATGAACATATCAAAATAGTGCGTACCTAATTTTTGGAGAAGTACACTTTATTGGTTTAAATGTGGTTATAATTAGCAAAGTGACTGTGTAAAATGGCATCTTTGTATTCAATACTGTGTGTATTGAAGCTTACTGAATGAGTCAGCAAGTTAGTTTTCTGACAAAAACATCTCTTTTTTTAATTTGTTTACAATTTCAACATGTTATGTAGTTCTGAATGAATAAGTCAGAGGATTAATTTCTGAGTGAAGAAATTAAAACTTTTAAAGGACTGTACTTTAAGATTTCAAAGAGTGAGGTTTTACATTTAGTGTAAAATGAGTCTGTGTCAAGAGTGAGGATGCTTGGACCCTGGTTGTTGACTTGCCAAGAACAGAATGACTTTGGGCCACCATATTAGCTCACTGAATCTTAATTTCCTTACCTCTAGAACGGGAATATTAGCTTTCTCCTGAAAATCTCTTAAGATCATTATCAGAAAGAGAATCGGAAAAGTATGGGAAAGTGCTTCATAAATGGAAATGCACCACATTAATGCAGGGTGTCATTATTCTAATGGGCTTGTTTAGTGTGTCACAACGTGATTCAAACTGTCACCTGGGGCTTTATGTGAAACACTGTGGAAAGAAAGTGAAATCTGCTTTGCTTCTCAAATTGTTTTTGTTGGAGCTGAAAATAAGCTGAATATATTTGAGCAGAGACTTGAAGAAGAAATGTTACATTTTGGTGATGCTGTCTTCAGTTTCTAGTTGTAATCAACCTTTAAACACATCTTAGTTTTGTTGGAGTTTTGTTAATAAGACACCTTATTAGGCCCATGGTACAGATTTAGCTAACTACTGAAACTACCTTTTTAGTTTTTATTGACCTGTGTATCTACACTTCTGTAGGGATACACACGCCGGTCAGCCTAGACCAGTGTTTCTCAACCAGGCACACTTTTGCCCTCTCCCCCCATCCCCCAGGATGTGTGGCAATGTCTGAAGACATTTTTGGTTGTCAGAGTTGAGAGGTGGGGTATTGTGCTGCTCGAAACTTGGTGTTGTTTTTTTTTTTTTTAAAGATTTTATTTATTTATTTGGCAGAGAGACACAGCGAGAGAGGGAACTCAAGCAGGGGGAGTGGGAGAGGGAGAAGCAGGCTTCCTGCTGAGCAGGGAGCCCCATGCAGGGCTGGATCCCAGCACCCTGGGATCATGACCTGAGCTGAAGGCAGATGCCCAACGACTGCGCCCCCCAGGTGTCTTGTGGATTGAAGCCGTGGGCGCTGCCCTGCACAAAAAGGCTCCAGCTCCCACGAAGGATCCAACCTGAAATGTCAGTGATGCTGAGGCTGGGAAAGAGCCTTTACAGAATAGGAATGTTTAAGACAAAACACTTACAAAGTTATGTCTGGGTCTTTGGTATGTTGTGCAGGACTGGAAGAAGTTTGGGTAATCAAAGGATTTCTGCCCACCGTGAAGTTCAAGATTGTTTCATACTGGCCTCCAAAATGAGAGAGGCTTTGTTTTCTTCAGAAATGCCCTTTCTAGGGGCACCTGGGTGGCTGTTAGTTAAGCTTCTGTCTTAGGCTCAGGTCATGATCCCAGGGTCCCGGGATCACGCCCCTCCTAGGGATCCCTGCTCAGCGGGGAGTCAGCGTCTCCCTCTCCCTCTGCAGCCCCCACTCTTGCTCTCTCTCTATTTCTCAATTGCTCTCTTTCTCAAATAAATAAATAAAAATCTTAAAAAAAAAAAAAAAAAGATCTGGGGCACCTGGTTGGCTCAGTTGGTAGAATGAGTAACTCTCCATCTTGGGGTTGTGAGTTTGAGCCCCACGTGAGGGTGTAGAAATTACTTAAACTTAAGATCTTAAGAAAGAAAGAAAGAAAGAAAGAAAGAAAAATGCTTTCTTTTCCTTTTCTGTAACAGTGCTTCTCTCAAGTTCTTCCTGCCATGGCAGCACACTTTTCTAAGCAGCGGAAGACTTTTGGGGAAGGAAGCAGAAGCAGAGGAGCACCTGACTTCTCTTTAAAAGATCATATGCTTGGGGCGCCTGGGTGGCTCAGTGGGTTGAGCCTCTGCCTTCGGCTCAGGTCATGATCTCGGGGTCCTGGGATCAAGCCCCGCATCGGGCTCTCTGCTTGGCAGGGAGCCCGCTTTCCTCTCTCTCTCTGCCTGCCTCTCTGCCTACTTGTGATCTCTATCTCTCTGTTAAATAAATAAATAAATACATCTTTAAAAAAAAAAAAAAAAAAAGATCACATGCTCTAGGAGACCCAGGAATGGAAGCCCTGGGAAAGTCCCAGTCAAATTGCCAGCAGTTTCCCACGCTGGAAGATGGATGTGGTGATACCCTAAACTTCCAGATATGTTTGAGAATACCCAGATTTAAAAAAGAGATGTGCAAAAAACCAAAACAAAATACCCTTAACACAAGGTAATATTTAACTGTGGTATAAATAACAGCAGAGTATGATAAAGTCTGATATGTAAAAATGGAGGACTTTAAGTCCTAAGAGGAGTTCTGCCTATTTTTTTTTTTTTACCGAAAAGTTTAATATTTTAGATTTTTAGGACCTATCAATTAGGATCCCTTGGAGCTAATATCATTTCTTAAAATAATTAAGTAAATATCATAAGTGGGCAACTCAAGGGAAAAGAGATTCTGATTATTTAAGATCCAGGTCACTGGCTATAGGACAAGTGATCATGAACCAAGAAAACTCACCCAGGCCTCAAGAGTCCAAAGCTGCCCTCCTCCCTCACTGCCAGAGCATGTGCAGTGGGAACAGGTGTAAAACAGCTTAAATGGTTGAAGACTTGGCATAGGGAGAGGAGCAGGAGAAAGCAGGAATGACGTGTCAAGGCTACCCCTTGAGTCAGCTTTGGGCAAACCAACTCTGTTTGGTAGCATCCTACCCAAAAGTATTTTCCTCCGCATTGCCTGACTCCTCTCCTCTCCTCTGCTCTCCTCTCCTCTCTTTTCTCTTTCCCTTTCACCTTTCTCCTTTCCTTTCCTCCTCTCCTCTCCTCTCCCTCCCCTCTCCTCCCCTTTCCTCTTCTCTTCTTTTCTTTTTTCTTTAGTTTGTTAGACTGTCAGAGTTTTGTTTGGAGGAACAAATATCTTTTAAAAAAGAAAAATGGAGCTTCTTGTACCTGCCTTTCTTCTTTATTGCTCCACACCTGGATCTCACCTCTCCTTTAAGGCTTAGCTCAAACACCACCACCTCTTCCCCTCTTAGAAGTAATAGTTCTAGTTGTGACTTCCTGTTTCACAGTCTGGCACACAGTGTCGATCTCTTGTGATCCCTACTGGTATGTGAGCCCTTTGAGCGTACAGATCCCGGCCTATCCATCTTCCAACCCAGGTGAGAGCCCATAGAGTGCCTGGCCCAGAGCAGCAATGGAATAAGTAATTGGCAGCAAATACATCTAGGGACATTGGTTTTCAAATCTCTGTAGGAATCAATCAACTCTGCTTTCCTGCTAAAACCCGGAAGAGGGCATGGGGGTTGATCTTGTGAACAGGAGGGGAGGGGCGTGATAGGAAGAGCTTTTAAGAGGTGGTGGAAAAGGCGCCCAGGAGGGAAGGTGAGGAGGACCACAGATGAACCAGGACTGTTTGTGTTTTTACCAAGGAAAGGGGCAGAATATTGTCCTCCTTGTTCTTCTCTCTCCTGGGTTGTGTGGCTTGTTACTTCCAGGATTCAGAACACAAGCTAGTATGATTAGAGGTTAAAATTAGGAGTGAAGTTGGGCTTGGTGATGTAGCTGGAGTGCATCCCTGCTAGAGTTTCCTTTGTGGTTCCACACTCCTGATTGAGGTATATTTGGGGAATAGACTGGCTTGGTTAGAAGAATGCCTGTAGATCATCTAGAACTGCCCAATGAACTATTTATGATGTTATCTTTATATGGAAACTGGTGAAATCTTCTAAGATCAAATGATAACCTATCTTTTTTCCCCCCCTTTCAGGAAAATGGCAGACAGTTTTTCAGTAAGTGTTTTATGTCTGTTTTCTTACCATAATATACATTCCATGGAGGTTGGGGGCTTTCTTCTTTGCCACCAGACATCCCCTTACCGCCAGATATCCCCTTCTAATTCTCTCACCCTGCAGCTTCCTCTGGCCATAACTGACCAATGAGGACTTGTTAGCTGACGTCTTGTTTTTCTAGCAGCAGGTTCAGGGAGAGAGCCAAGCAGATAGAGGCCTGGGACTCACTAACAGTAAGCCTGGGACAGAGACAGGGGGATTCCATGGTCAGGAGCTGAGAAATAATACGAGCAAAGGGAATCCTGGTGCTGTCTGAGCATCCTGATTTCTGGATTGTTGTTCTCATGTCAGTTAGAGAGGATGTGCTTTTACACAGGGGAAGGCTAGTTCCTGACTTCGGCAAATTGTGAAAGGCAACCCTCCCTGATCTGAGATGATGGGAAGCAAGAATAAAGGGAGGCAGGGGATGCAGCAGCTGTCCAGACACCCCATGAGGCAGAAAGGAGCAGGGAGCTACCTTGGCGTCTCCCTTCTTCCCACTCTTTAATCTCCTGCCAAAGCTGCCCCTTAGCCAGACTCATCTGGAAGCCTGGAAACCACCGTCTGCAGGGGTTAGAGGCCCTGTGATCAGCACAAGGCAAGGAGAAGGAGGGATTTGACAGTACATTGCCATCTTGGGAATATGGCAGAACTGACTCTTCGCTGTCAAACACGGAGCTCCTGGAACTATGGGAACTCAGGCCCATCACCCTGACCACCTACTGTAGGGTATTTTTCATCTGAACCATGTAGTTGCTCGACTGTGATGAGCCATGATCAAAAAAACACAGATAAGACAAGTACAGGCCTATATCAGAAACCACGGTGCTTGGCCGTGTACCTGATGTGGCTGCCGGGGACAGGCTTGTGGTTCTGCTAGAGATTAGAAATGGGGCGGGAAGCCCTTTGGGAGCCACTAAGAAGGGGACTACACCTTCCAGAAATCCTTTTCTGGAACGGTCTTGTGAAACCAGGATGGAGATTTCTTAAGTCATCCTTGTTCTTTGCAAGGAAAAGTCAATGCCATTGGATAGTCATATTAACTTTACTGTGTAGTTAATATATTGACCCTATATAGCCCAGAAAAAAATAGCAATCATTAGAATTATAATCCATCAAAGAAGTGCATTCTTTATGGGAAAACAATTCATGTTGAGAACTGTGAATTGCTTTGCTTTCCATTTTCTATATGGCTCTCTTCCTATACAGGCAGTAATCAATCTGGAATCCCACTTAATTAATGACATGATCTGGCCTTTTAAGAAAAACTTTGAAATTTTACAATAGTTTTAGATTTACAGAAAAATTACAAAGATAGTATGAAGAGTTCCCGTATACCCTACGCCCACTTTCTTCTATTATTAATGTCTTACATTAGCATGATACATTTGTTACCATTAATAAACCAGTACTGATACATTACTACTACTAAAAAAAAGAACTATTACTACTAAAAAAAAGAATAAAATGATGAAGCATATATAATCCCAAAGTCTAATTTTAGTCTTAGAAACTGTGAACTATTTAATAGGTGGAAAATTTTTATTGATATGAATTTCATACCCTTACCATATATATCACTCTACTTCTTAGATATCACATATTCCTATTTTCCTGAAAATTCTGTTTTCGTAAGTGTATTCATCCTGTAATTGTTGATGTCTTTCTTTCTAGCTTAATGATGCTTTATCTGGGTCTGGAAACCCAAACCCTCAAGGATGGCCTGGTCAATGGGGAAACCAGCCTGCTGGAGCAGGGGGCTACCCAGGGGCCTCCTATCCTGGTGGCTACCCTGGACAGGCCCCTCCTGGCAGTTATCCTGGACAGGCCCCTCCTGGTGGCTACCCTGGACAGGCCCCTCCAGGAGCCTATCCTGGACAGGCCCCTCCAGGAGCCTATCCTGGGCAGGCCCCTCCTGGCGGCTATCCTGGACAGGCACCTCCAGGAGCCTACCCTGGCCCAACAGCTCCTGCTTATCCTGGACCACCTGCACCAGGACCCCACCCTGGGCAACCGAGTGGGCCTGGGGCCTACCCGCCTCCTGGACAGCCAAGTGCTCCTGGAGCCCAGCCCGCTGCTGGCGCCTTTGGCATCCCTGCTGGACCACTGGTAAGATGGAACTAGACACTTCATAGACTTTACTGTGATCAGGACAAAGCTAATGAAGAACCAGCACAGTGTTGTCTGGAGCGCTGGTGCCATTACTTTGCTGTGCTTTGGTTGGGAGCTGGCTCTGGGCACCAACCTGCATAGGGCTTCAGAGAGACCTGAAGCTTTAAACTCGCAGGTTAGAGCCCCTCTTCCAGGACCAGCCAAGGTGTATGTCAGCCCAATAGAAAAAAATCATTGTATTGAGTTTAGGATGTGTACTGTTAGTATAAAGAGAAGTCAATGTGTCTTTTGAAGACATCTCTGTAAAGCAGCCTTAATATAAATGAAGTTAAGATTGTAGAAATGGGGGAACAGTTTGGTTACTATTATTAATAAACACTGAGTACATAGTTTATGCCAGCCGTGTGCTTCTACGTGGATGATTTCATTTACCCCTATATCTGCCCCATAAGATGCTGTTACTGTCCCTACTCTACACACGAGGAAAGGGGACAGTAGAGAGTTATACAGCTTGTCTGGGGTCACAGAGGGAACGTGTAGGGAAACCAAGGTAATGTGGTTTTGAAAAACCTTCTAAAGATAATTTTGTGATCTAAGGATTGAATTTTCATTTAGATTAAAACCCACTTTAGTAAGTGAATTCTAAGTGTATAGACCTAACCCTGTGGTGACTCTAGACACATCTCAGACACCAATCCTTCTCTTCCAGATGTTTAGTCTAGTCAGGAGATAATATACAGATGTGGGGAAAGCGTTCAGTAGCCGCATGGGATCAGACCCTTCCAGGAGCCTATGGACGTTGGCACAGGAGGTGTCTGACTTGCTTTTAGGTCAGCTTGGAAGAGAGTGCAGAGAAGGTGCCGGAAGCATGGGCAGCATTGGTCAGGCAGTAGTCGACCACAGTTAGTCATTTGTAGACAGATGGGGACGTGGAGGTTGTGGCAAGGGAGAGGCAGATGTGAGAGAGGTTGCAGAGGAAGAACCCCAGGAACTCGTGGTTACGTCTCAGTCAGGGATGATGGGGTTTTCAAGGCTCGACAATTAGAGAACCAGCCACGGGTCAGCCCAGACCAGGAACTCAGGAAGGAGACCTGATGTGTGGGGTTTGGGGGTGGGGGTGAGGAAGAAGAGACAATTCCAGTTCACACCTGTTGGATTTGAGGCATCTGTGGGAAATTCAGATAGGAGGAGGTATGGGGCCCAAGAGAAAAGACCTGGGTGGTGGTTGCACCCAGGGGGGAAAAGTTATGAAGGGAAGAGAGAAGAGGCCAAAGGGAGTTTTGGGAATATTTACAGCACCCTGCACTAGATGGTTAATGCATTTTTCTGGAAGAATTAGAGAATGTATTAAATGAAAAGTGTTTATTCCACAAATATTTAATATCAGACCCCCCTGTTGATGCCATGTAAGTAGAACTCACAAGAATTCACGAGTCCCCGGATGGGACACAATGCCCACCCTCAGGGAGTAAATGATCGCGATGAGTATGTTACGTGATCAGGCTCTTAAGAGTGGCACAAAGTCATAAAACTAAAACTGACATAGATATAATTATCTCAATAAAAATAATCTTAAAAAAAGAAGAGTAGCACAAAAATGTTAATTTTCTTGATTGCAAGATTTAGTTTAAGCCTTTCCGAAAAATAGTCCAAGTGGATTAATTATAGATTGGGATGTCCTTAGTAATGAGAGATACAGTGCTCCAAAAGGGAATATGGTGTGTCTTTGGCACCAATTAACTGATGGCTTTATTCTTTTTTTTTTTTTTTAAGATTTTATTTATTTATTTGACAGAGATCACAAGTAGGCAGAGAGGCAGGCAGAGAGAGAGGGGAGAAGCAGGCTCCCTGCTGAGCAGAGAGCCCGATGCGGGGCTCGATCCCAGGACCCTGGGATCATGACCTGAGCCGAAGGCAGAGGCTTTAACCCACTGAGCCACCCAGGCGCCCCTGATGGCTTTATTCTTTAATTTACTTATTTATTTTATCTTTAAGAATTATTTATTTGAGAGAGAGAGAGAGAGAACAGAGGCAGGGGGAGGGGCAGAGACAGAGAGAGAAGCAGACTTTTTGCTGAGCAGGGAGCCTGATGTGGGACTGGATCCCAGGACCCCAAGATGATGACCTGAGCTGAAGACAGATGCTTAACCAACTGAGCCACCCAGGCATCACCCCACTGCCCTAATGGCTTTATTCTTTTTTTTCTTTTTTAAGGATTTCATTTATTTATTTGACAGACAGAGATTACAAGTAGACAGAGGCAGACAGAGAGAGGAAGGGAAGCAGGCTCCCCACTGAGCAGAGAGCCCAATGCGGGGCTCGATCCCAGGACCCTGGGATCATGACCTGAGCTGAAGGCAGAGGCTTTAACCCACTGAGCCACCCAGGCGCCCCTCTTTTTTTTTTTTTTTTAAGATTTTATTTATTTATTTGACGGAGAGGGAGACACCAAGAGAGGAAATACAAGCAGGGGGTGTGGGAGAGGGAGATGCAGGCTTCCCGCTGAGCAGGGAACCCAATGTGGGGCTTGATTCCAGAACCCTGGGATCATGACCTGAGTCGAAGACAGACCCTTAACGACTGAGCCACCCAGGCACCCCTGGATGGCTTTATTCTGTTTTTTTTTTCCCCCCCAAGATTTTATTTATTTATTTGATACAGAGAGAGAGATCACAAATAGGCAGAGAGACGGGCAGAGAGAGAGGGAGAAACGAGCTCCCTGCTAAGCAGGGGGTTTGATCCAACATGGGGTTCGATCCTAGGACCCTGAGAACATGACCTGAGCTGAAGCCAGAGGCTTAACCCTCTGAGCCACAAGTGCCCCAGGATGGCTTTATTCTTGAGTGTTACCTGTGCATGTAGGAATTCTTGTCCTTTCAGGCTCGGGGTAGGGTGACCAGAGAGTCTGGAAAAACGGCTTAAATTAGGGTTATGTGCTAGTCACATCAGCAACTTATTTTTCTTTCTTTCCCCGAGAAGACATAACTTTTTATTGATGTTTGCATATTTTTTGTTCCCAGACTGTACCTTATGACCTGCCCTTGCCTAGGGGAGTCATGCCTCGCATGCTGATAACAATTCTCGGCACAACGAAGCCCAATGCAAACAGGTAAGAACAGTATTAGCAACTCTAACGTATTTGTCAATTGTTTTTTGAATAAAGGGTCATCTATTTTGAATTTTAATAAATTTTTAGAACTATGCCTTGAGAATTCTATACCATAGAATGGGATTATCCTATAAATCAGTGTGTGTTCCCACCAAGGGACAAAGTGTCCCTCATTAAATCTTGCTTTTCTCCCAGAACCACAATGAAACATTTCTACTTTTTTTTTTTTTTAAGATTTTATTTATTTATTTGAAAGAGAGAGCATGAGCACAAGTAGGGGGAGAGGCAGCGGGAGAAGGAGAAGCAGGCTTCCTATCGAGAAGGGAGACCTATGTGGGACTCGATCCCAGCACCCTAGGATCATGACCTGATCTGAAGGCAGACTGAGCCACTGAGCCACCCAGGCGCCTTGAAACAGTTCTGCTTTGTGAGGACAAAGAGAAAGAGCAGACGGCCCATACAGAAAAACCTAGGTTCTTCCTGGCAGTGAGAACCTTAGAGTTCAAGGGAAAGACAGCCTTTGAAATGTAATGCTTGGTTGTCCCTCCACCTCTGAGCCGTATCTTGTCTAAAAAACCAGGCATGCCCTTTATATTTAGATGCCCATCAAAAATTAAGGTCAGAAACACCAAGATTGCACTGGACGTCATTTTGAGTTGATCTGAGAGCTTGTACATTGTACCACTCGATTTGCACAGATCACCCTGCAGTGGTGCAGTCACAGTACGTACGGTCTCAGATCTGGTGAGCTTGACTGCCACTTCTGCCTTCCTACTGGGCACATCAGCTGTGTCACAGATTCCTCTGGCGTCAGCCAGGTCTGCGGTTGTTATGTGGTGGGATGGGGGAACGTCGGTCTTCTGGGTAGACACAATTTATGCAAAGATTTGAAAAGATCCTACAAGTTAAAGACTTCCTCAAAAGAAGTCAACCTTTGCCATGGGAACTGGTTGGATGGAGGGGAGCGAGGACGGAGTTAGCCTCTGAGCTAATTTAGGACAATCCATGCTGATTTATGATTGCCTTGTTAGCACCACTGGTTATATTCCATGTAATACATGGAATGTAATATATTCCATGTAATACAAGCAGGTTTGGGATATCCTGAAGACATCCAGTATGCCTGTCCCCAAGGTTAATGGTACCATTAAAGCTCCTGCAGCCATAAAGTAATCTGTGTTTCTGGGGTTTATAGACAGTACACGAAAGGTACCAATTCAAGCTATGCACACAGGTTTCCAAGAATCCATAAACAACCCCCGTGAGTTCTGTCACCTTGCTCCTGGTGGATCAATGGGAAACCCCCTTTTCTTTTACCAGGAAATGGACTCAGCCTCTGACGTAATCATTTTACATCCAGCTAGCCCTTTCAGGCGCACCTCCAGCGAGCCTTCTCTGCTTCTATGCGGTAGCCAGTACCCTAAGCCCCCACTTGGTTCCACACAGCCTCTACAGCTTCTCTAATCACAGTGCTTACCTGCACAATAAAGCTTGTCTCACAGCCAATTATGAAATGTATATATCCCCCGCCTATGTCCATATCCATTTTCCTTCCCAAATAACGCAGAACCCAGCACACCCGATCCTGGGCACCCCACACTCGTAGTTTGTGAATGTCTGCTCTCCTCCCCCAGCCACGGTCACACAGAACCACACTGGTGTGTTTGCCTCATTGAGGGTTTTTGCACTAGAAACTTTAGTTCCAGTAACGCTAGAGGTGTAGACAGAGACTGTGGCGAGTAAAACTCATTTTGGTGGAAATGGTTAAGATGGTAATAAACTGAAAAAATGGTTGCTTGGTTTTGCAAAATCTATGTGAGGAATTACCTGAAAAAAGGAATGCTTAAGGTCTACGGCCATACCACCCTGAACGCACCCGATCTCGTCTGATCTCGGAAGCTAAGCAGGGTCGGGCCTGGTTAGTACTTGGATGGGAAGAATGCTTAAGGCAATAGAGATGGCAAGATCTTCCTTTTCCCTGCAGAGAAAATATAGCCAAATACAAATACAAATGCTATTGCCATCTGACTATATGGGTCAAATACAAATACTATTGCCATCTGACTATATGGATCCTCTCCCTGGGCATTCAGTTACTGGAAGATATAGTTGTGTTTGTATGTGTCTGTTACTGGGTAAATGAAAATGCCCAAGGAATCATTGTTAATAGGTCTAGAGTATAGACCTTGCTTTCAAACAAGAGCCCCAGCTGATTCTGATGTTGGGGCCCCATGGAGCACACTTGGAGAAGCTGAGGGATAGGGTTAATACGTTAACAGTCCGAGGCCTTGTGTTTGCATTAACATCCAAGGAGAAGGAACAAGGTCAAAGAGTTAAGCCAGTTCTTCCATTAATTCCACCTCACATCAGGGAATGTTTATCACATTTATTACCATGACTTTACAACTTAGCAACAGGACACTGTACATGATGTTATCTTCTTCTTGTTATTTTAGGACTAGGTTTTGGTTAACTATAAGGAAGTCAGGTATTTTATGGCTTCTGTTTTACGTGACTGGCTTGCCTTTAGTAGGTATTAAAAGTAACTGGCAGGGCAGGAAAGAGGTAAGCATTATTATTCGCCATGTATAGCATAAAGTGCCCTCAAAGTGGCCCCAGGTTTCTGTAAGGAACCCTTGACCAGTTTTCATAGTAGAGGCAGAAAAGAGGGAATGACAGCTGAATGGAATCATGTTACCAAAGACAAGGAGGCAAAAAAAAAATGGAACATGTAGTGCCTTGCTTATTTTCAGATACTACAAGAATACATCAACTACTAGGCCTCGTATACTTTCCAGGTTGAAGCCATACTCTGGTTTGTTTGCTTCCATTTGAAAATGTTCCTGTATTTATTAAAAAAAATCAGATCTTTAGAAAATTATATGTTCTCCACTTGATACAGATACACGAAGTTGAATCATTTTACTAACTCTGGTCTTTGCTTTAAAACAGATTTGCTTTAGATTTCAAGAGAGGGAATGATGTTGCTTTCCACTTTAACCCACGCTTCAATGAGGACAACAAGAGAGTCATTGTTTGCAATACAAAGCTGGATAACATCTGGGGAAAGGAAGAAAGACAGGCGACTTTCCCATTCGAAAGTGGTAAACCATTCAAAGTAAGTTATTGCTACCATTATATATTGATAATGCATATTTCTCAGGGAAGAATAACTCTACCACCACAAGGTACTTGAAATGAATTTCTCAGCTATTCTGAGACACCTAACTGGCACATCTGCTCCCTATCCCGGGGGATCAGGCTTAACAGGACTGGCCCATTCATTCCCCAGCTCCATTCCTCCCCTTCACCATTGTCCCTGTTATCAAACCTTTGAGTTTAAGCTTTTCTGGAAATGAGAAAAATAGCATCTTTAATAAAGAAGGCAGAAGGGGGCACCTATGTGGATCACTCGGTTAAGTGTATGACTCTTGATGTCAGCTCAGGACTTGATCTCAGGGTCATGAGTTCAAGGCCCATGTTGGGCTCCAAGCTTGGCATGGAGTGTACTTAAAAAAGGAAGAAAAGGGCAGAAGGTCTCAATGGTATAGTTGGGCTGAGACTTAGTACCTTAATACAACATAGTTGGCATGGCAATCAAAGCTAATTTTTTAAAATTCTAAAATTAAGATGTTTTATGAAAAAAAAGTTTATAGATTTTCAAGTTAGAAAGACTTCCATCTTTTCCCATTTCTCCCAACCTCACAAAGTCTGCAACTTGGTTAATATCTTTCTAGTATTTTCTATTACATACAGCACTGTTTGTTTTAAAAACTTATTAAATAATCTCTACCCCTGAACTCATGACCCCAAGATCAAGAGTCACATGCTCTACCAACTGTCCCAACACACTTTTTATTTTTAAGCACTGCTTTAACAAATACTAGGTCCGCAGTGTTGGGTTAGGTTGACAGTAGAGTGGGCATTAAAACTACTAAACTGTGGGGCGCCTGGGTGGCTCTGTGGGTTGGGCCGCTACCTTCGGCTCAAGTCATGATCTCAGGGTCCTGGGATCGAGTCCCGCGTCAGGCTTTCTGCTCAGCAGGGAGCCTGCTTCCCTCTCTCTCTCTGCCTGCCTCTCTGTCTACTTGTGATCTCTGTCAAATAAATAAATAAAATCTTAAAAAAAAAAACACAAAACCAAAAAAAACCCTACTAGACTGTAAGCTCCTCAAGGGCAGAGACTTATAGGGACCAGATTCTATATTTGGTGGACATATTCTCATATTCGAACATTGTTACTTAATAGTATTTCATTATTTAGATAAGTGTCCTATGGATGATAATTTGGAGTATGGAAATATTCCAAACAAATAAAACCTGAAATGTTTATTTTGCTAAAATATTGTAATAATGGTCCTTATAAAGCTTTGCTTCCTAGAACAAGAATTTTATTCCAAGAATGTACATATTTTCTAAAAGATTTTATTTGAGACAGAGAGAGAAGCACAAGAGGCGGGTGGGGGTAGGGGCAGAGGGAGAGGGGGAAGCAGGCTCCCTGCTGAGGAGGCAGCCCGATGCTGGACTCGATCCCAGGACCCTAAGACCATAACCAGAGCTGAAGGCAGACGCCTAACGGACTGAGCCACCCAGGCGCCCCTCAAGAATGTACATATTTAAAATTTAGATAAGATACTGCCAAAGTGCTGTTTTCACAAGGCTGTAAGGATAAACCTGTTCACTACTTAACTTTTGGAAGAGTGTTTCTCCTACTCTGGCCCACACTGGTTATTATCAATCTTAGTAACATTTGCCACTCTATTAGAGAATTCCTTCTTTGGTATTCTGTTTTCATTTTATTTACTGAAGTACAGTCGACACAGGATGTTACATTAGTTTCAAGTGTACAACAGTGACCATCATCTCTGTTACGCTATGCTTACATCTGTCACTATCCAGCATTATTACAATACCACTGACTGTATTCCCTATGCTATACCTTTTACCCCATGACTTATTCGTCCCATAACTGGAAGCCTATACCTCCCACTCTCCTCCAACCATTTTGTCCATCCCTGTACCCTGCCCCTTCCCTCTGGCAACCATCAGTTTGTTCTTTGTATTTATGGGTCTGTTTCTGCTTTTTGTTCATTTGTTTCTTCCTTTGAATTTTTGGTTTCCACATGTAAGTGAAATCATGGAATTTGTCTTTCTCTTTCTGACTTACTTCATTTAGCATAATATTCTGTAGGTCTATCCATGTTGTTGCAAGTGGGAAGATTCCATTTTTTATGGCTGAGTAATATTCCATTGCACATATATATGGTATATGTATGGATACCACATCTTCTTTACCCATTCATCATATATGGGTCCACACTTGCATGGCTTCCATATCTTGGTTATTATAAATAATGCTGCAGTAAACATAGGGGTGCATATATCTTCTCAAACTAGTGTTTTCATTCTCTTTGGGTACATACCCAGTACTGGAATTACTGGATCATGTAGTATTTCTAGCTTTAATGTTTTGAGGAACCTCCATACTGTTTTCCAAAGTGGTTGCACCAATTTACATTCCCAAGAGTGCATGAATGTTCCTTTCTCTCCACATCTTCACCAGTACTTGATATGGTTATATTTTTACTTTTAGGGGTTAGCCATACAAAAACTTTGTTTTTGTGGAGACACATTATTCATCTTTACTTTTATAGCTTCAACTTATCTTTATTTATTTTTTAAAAAATATTTTATTTATTTATTTAACAGAGAGAGAGACAGAGAGACAGAGATCACAAATAGGCAGAGAGGCAGGCAGAGAGAGGGGGAAGCAGGCTCCCTGCTGAGCAGAGAGCCGGATGTGGGGTCGATCCCAGGACCCTGAGATCATGGCCTGAGCTGAAGGCAGATGCTTAACCGAGTAAGCCACACAGGCGCCCCCCAGGGTTCCTTTCTTGGACTTTAGTCAGTTCCACGCATGATTATAAAGATGAAATGTGGGACATTCTCAGCTCAGGCCAGATTGGTTTTGAAATTAAGAGCATTTCTAACAGTTTTGTTTATGTGCTATTTCAGATACAAGTGCTGGTTGAATCTGACCACTTCAAGGTTGCGGTCAATGATGCTCACTTGTTGCAGTACAATCATCGGATGAAAAATCTCCAGGAAATCAGCAAGCTGGGAATTTCTGGTGACATAGATCTCACCAGTGCTTCACACGTTATGATATAATTTTAAAGGGGAAGATTTAAAAAAAATGAAATTGAATATAAACGCTTACACATTGAAACTTCATGTTTCCTGATTGAAAAATTTCACTTTTATTCATCACTGTCCTTCTTGTAAATCTTCGATTTAATAAACATTCTAAGAGTTCCCTGTCTTTATATGTCATTTAATTGGGGCAATTTATTCTTGACGATGCACAATGGACTCAGTGTAAAAGGAATATGTAGCAATATTAATTCTGCATTAAAGTGTCCCAGAGTTTTCTATACTTACTAAAGTATTTTTGAAGAAAATATTATTTTAACCTCTGTCTTTCAGAGTGTCGTTAAAAACCTGAAGATGCTACAAGGAAATCATTCTCCCATTTTCTTATTTAAGGAAGTATACATTCAGGAAGCACAAAGAAAAAGCGTAGCTGTTGATAAACCACAGGCAGTTCCTGTTAACATTCTGGTATATTTCTTTGTGCTCCTCTTAACTATTTCTTCTCTTTAGACTATATTTAGCTGTTTTCAAATCCATATTTGATACCAATATGAGACAATCTTGGTATAGGTTCTCTTGGTTTTTACGAAATCTCCATATTTGTAGAGGAAAATTAAGCTCTTAATTAGATATGTCATCTGCTTAACAAATTTAATAATTCCCATTGTCAACCTTCTTAAGCATGCCTTTCTGCACTTCCTCATTACCAGCAGGCCCAAAGATTCAGACAATTTCAAAACTAAGAGGTGGTCATAGCACTTTACTTTATAAAAGAATCAAAATATTGTTTGGTCTATTTATTATTTCTGGAACACCATCTTCTCAGATACTTTTATTGTCACAAGTTGGGTTCCCTGGAAGCAGAGATTAGAACCCAAGAGGCTTATGGAGGAGAATCTTGACATCAACAGCTGAAGGACAAGAAGGCACACGATCGGGCAGAGGGAGAAGGTTTGGTTATCGATGCCTCAGCCTACCCTACAGGGGTTCTGAAGCTGGATGGCCCTTTGGAGCTGTCAAGAGGGGGAACAGTCCTTTATCTCTTCAATCAGTCAACAAATACAGGCCACCTGAGAAACAGTATGATTTGAGAAGTAGCTGTCTTCAGAAAGCTGTCTAATAGCACTTCTAACAATTAAAGGAAAAAGTATTTCAGTCCTAAAGAGGGATGCGATACAGGGATCACAGTTTGCTACTTCCTTACTCTAATATTCTCATCTTGACTCTATCTATGATTAAGTGGAAAAACATAAGCTAGAGAAAAAAGAGGAAACTTGTTCCACATAAAATTACTTAAATCCTGAACCTTGGTTCCTTTGTCTATAAAATAGTGGTATAATACACCTTTTGTAGGGTTACTGTGATCGTTGAATAAATGTTCACAAATGTTCATAAATGTTCACAAAGGGGTTGCCATATAGGAGGTCCTCAACAAATGGAAATTCTTTTTTCCCCCCATTTTTGGAAAGGTATTTGTTCTACCAAAGCAATATTTTTTCCTAGTATCTTCAAAGATTTTTCTAATACCTCATAATTCTAGAGTCCAATAGCCTAAGAACACACTGTCTAGTTGTAGGGTACATTAATAGCTGCTTATCCATCCGTTCCCTGTTTCCTAATAGTCATGGTTTTATTCAAGTATAATCCTAGATAAAATAAGGAATCCAGATTAAAAACAATCCCAAAAGGATTGTCAAAATATCCCCAATTTCCTCAAGAAACACTATCATGCCTAAAACACTTTAACACTGAATACTAAAACATTTTATGACACTATATAAAATGATTGAGTAGAAGTGAACACAAATACATACTCTAAAATTTTTAATACACTAACAATATATGTAACCCCAAAAAGACCCAGCCACAGAGAAGCCGACACCAAGGATGACAGAAGGAACTGTGAACATAATTTTGGACCTTGAAACCATCATTGAGCTGGTGATTGTAAAGCACCAGGAATCACCCTGGCAACTTGTAAAAATAATAAACTTCCCTGTTATTAAGCCAGTTTGACTTCATTTTACTATTACTAAATAGCCAAAAGGTCTCTGAACACGTCCATAGTACATCTTACTAAACCCACCAAAAAATCACGTTTACTGACATTGTTTTTATTCTCATCTGCTTTGTCCTTGCGGGCAAATGTTATTTTATTATTTTGTTGCATATTGCCTTACATAGACTCTGAGTCGTTGGGTTACCTTGCACCAACTTCTTTTGCATGCTCATATGCTTGGGCCCTTAGAAAAGCCCAACTTTTATATATGTTTCTTTGTTTTGCATGTCTTCCTTGAATTATTCATTAATGGGATGTTAAAGCTGCCTTTATCTTTTGGTAAGACTAGGCATTCTGAGAACATTCTTCTAAGCCAGCCCCTCACATGGCCTGACTGCTCATATGGGCTCGATAATAAATACTCTCTTTCCCACAAGCTTAACATACCTTTCCCTGACAACAAAAGTGGATGTGTTTTGTTTTCTTTTCGAAAACCCCTAATCTTACACATTTATAAGCTGCTGCTTGTTTGGTGAATGCCACCAGCCCTAACTCATTTAGAGGTAGAAATAACTGGATCCAGGTCTAGTTATAAGCTTAGCTACTACGAGTCTTCCTGGTGCTGTTATGGCCCTGTCTTCTACAATCCTAAAATTAAGAGTTTTATAAAAGAGAAAATAGTTCAAACACATTAAGTGATTGATAAAATTCTTTTCAAGGGAAGAAGGCATTTCCTCCTAAAACTATCAGGTATATTAAGGGGAAAATGAAAAGAAAAAGGCAAAGATTTAATGAGTCCCTCTAATAGTTTAACCATTTTAAACTGCAGAATATAAACAACTTCAGATTCCAGAAAGCTCATTTAAAGGAACTCTCTATACTCTGAAAAAAGTTGTTCAACATCAACAAATTTAAGAGTCCAAGGTAAGAATAAAGTATAAGATGCAAATATTTCTGTCAAAGTTTAATACTATATTTTGATTAAACTGAAGAATGTTCATAAGTGCTGAGTGAGTACACTTAGTTTTAATTAAGCTTATACATTTTAAACAAGAGAGGTGAGGTAAAGTACATTTTTTATTCTGCATAGTTAATGTACAAAATATCCCCACTTCCCTCGAGAAACACTATCAGCTAAAACACACTCTGATGAACACTGAATATTAAAACATTTTATGACACTATAAATTGACTAGAAGTGAACACAAATACATACTCTTCAATTTTCAATATGCTAATACATCACATTGATAATATGAAGAAAAATATTTGGATTTATTTTTAAATTCAAAATTCTTCTGGTTGTTCATCACGGAGGGGTCTTAGAGGTGAAAACGTAATCAAATTACCACCAAAGGAAATGTGTCTGGCATGATCTTGATGTCTCCTCTCCACCTGAGTGAATGTATTACTGAAGTTTAGGCCCGGCTAGAGAATAAATTCAGAGAAGTCACTAAATCAAAGTTTTCACCAATTAAGCCTTCAACATTGCAAGTTAATAGCAGGTTAATTAATAACATGAAAAATATTTTGGTATATAGTAATAAAACCATTAATAGCACAATGATTTTGCTACTTACCAGTGGATCTAATTTCAAATATATATATATATTTTTTAATTGAAAAGATATGCTAGGTACATATGCCTCAAAGATGACTAGTAATATGTAAATGGACTTCATCAGTATATGTAGGATAAATAAAATTAAGACGATATCTCAAGCCATTTACACAGATTCTACAAATCCCAATCCATATAACTGAACCTCATAGGCCTTTTACTAATGTGATCCTACTAGGATCCTTTTCTTTGTTCCCCCTCGAGTCCTATTTCAGGTTCAAGTGATGCTACAGAAGCAAGTAATAATTTGGGTCTCAACTAGACAAGCAGACCTATGGAAAATAAAATTGAAAATTCCAAGGTCTAATTTATATGAAAAGTGGAAAAGAATTCATAGGGAGACTAAATTATAAAGTACCAAGACTTGTCAACTAGCTAACATATAAGATAATTGAAATGCTTTTAATCATAATATTAGTATAACACAAAATGTGATACAGTACATTCCAAATTTATTTGTTAATATCCTATATTATCAGAACCAAGCATTCAGAGTTCAGATCTGAGAACAGGATTAAATCAGGTTTATATCAACTGGCCTGATGCTGAAATCCCTGACTCTATGATCAAGAAAGCAGACTACAGGTCACTACAGGTCCATACTGACACACTTCATTCTGCTCCTGAGACACAGGGAAGCCCAGAAGCCTGCATGAAAAGAAGGCATCTTTGAAAATAATGAAAGCCAACATATTCAGAGATCCTTAAGGAATTAGTGGTTTAAGGAAGCCAAGTATTTGCCAGGCTTTACAAGGTTAACAAAAACGATTGCTTTTATCCTACATTTGCCTCAATGAACTTTTTATATTCTGAGATCAAAGATTAGCAAACCAAGGCCATTTCCTGACCCATTTTAGCAACTGGCCCTGGAAAATTTCAAGGTAAGGCTATAAACCAGGGTGGTCAACCTGGCTATACATTAGAATCATCTGATAAAGGTCCTACTCCAGATTGAAATAAAAATATCTGGGGGTAGGGCTGAAAACCACTGCTCTAAACAGTAGGCAAGAGTGCACTATTTTATTCATGCCACAGTGCCAGCTCTGCCTACAGAGGAATTTACAGATAATAAGGGAAACAGATTCCTAAAATTATAATGGGTTTTAAGAATATAACATATTCATATTATATTCCTAAGAGATTGTATGCATTGTGCACCTACATCTATATATACAAATTAATATGGGAGAGAGGAGAGCTTTTCCAGGAAGGTTACACAGAAGGGCTAAGGTTTGAACTAGATGTAGAGGCAAGAGGTCACCAAAAATAAAGGCTGGGGAGCCTCTAAATAAAATAGTAGAATGAATATATATATATATTCATATAATTCAATTCAATATATATATATATATATATATATATATAAAAGAAAATATATATATCTCTCTCTAAAAGAATTAAAATGGAAATAACCCATGATGACTAATGGTAGGATAGACATTATCTTCCCAAATGCATGTTTCTTTCTTTCTTTTTTTTTTTTAAAGATTTTATTTATTTATTTGACAGAGAGAGATCACAAATAGGCAGAGAGGCAGGCAG